CGCGCTTTGCAAATTGGCCAAACGTTTGGTTAATAACTTCTTTTCTCCTTCATGGATTTTAATGAAATGTTCAGCATATGATATACAAATTCTATTGGCTTGGTAGAGATGCAAACGACTTCACATAATGGCCCTATTTCCCAATGAACTTAAATTTTAAGAATTTGGGAAATTTGGAGCCGGTATCCAAAATATAACAAAATTCAGAACTGTATAATAATATGTGCATAAATATAAAAAAACATTTAGAGGCGCTAACTCTTAAGCGAGATATAATTTAATTACTGCATTTGAATTATACTTTTAATTGATAACAATAAAACGGGATATCAAATATTTGAAATAAAAACAAAAAACAAAAAATTTCAAGTCTCTAGCTCTTATAGATACTGAGATCGTTCACGCACACGACAGAAGAACGGACAGGGCTCAATCGACTCGGCTTATTGTCCTGATAAATCATATATATACTTTATGGTGTCTGTCTCCTTCTGCCTATTACATTTATTTGCACAAAAACCATTTTCACATTAACAATTAACAATCCGCTAAGTTTTTTCGAAACACCTATTTATGATAAATTAGTTAAAATTGATCAAGCTTTTAATCAGCTCCGATGAAGAAAAACGGTTAATTTTTCAAAGTTCAACTAATTTATTCCTTTAAAGAATTTGGAAAATAAACTCAAGGTTTATTTAAGCCTAAGATTAAAGTGTTTGATTTTCCGTATAAAGGTTTGGCGCCTACTCCGACAACAAATTTAAAAATACTATATCTTTGCTGAAACATTTACAAGTGTAAGTATCAAGCCAGGAAAACTTTGTCTCATAGTTTTGTAAATAAGATTCAAACATTTTACACATCAAAAAAGGCCCATGGGGCGTGGTTAATAGTTTTGATTCGAGATCCCTAGTAATTACTATTGACCCGCGACTTATAGATTATATAGTATAGACGCATCCTTGGGGCATGCCAAATCGGAAATATATACATTTTCGTTAATGCTACAGATATGATCAGCAAGCCTTGCAGATAAATCGATGTTGACCTCCACCATTCGAGCATAACTTTGTTTCTAATTATGTATGAATGTATCTTGCACCTTGCTGTCGTATTTCTAACGGATAGTCCTTTTTGCAGCGCTTTGGCTTGTTTTGTTTTAGATACACGTTCGTATTAAAATCTAGGCTAGTCTTGTGTCCTTTTATTGCAACAGCAATTTTTACAATTTAAATCTAGACAAAGACAATGGCTGCACAAAAACTTTTCCAAACAGACACACACAGTCTTTCTCGTCTATTGACATGGAAGTAGAAGCCAGAATCTTTAGCAAAAAAATCACTTTTTTGTCTTTCGGCAAAATTGCGGTTTTGTTTTCATATTTCGTTTTATAGTTATACTTTGTACTGCTCTGATATTTCTTTGTGCCAACAAACATCAAAGTATATCTGTAGACCTTTTTCATTATGCTATTTTTACACCCTATGCCAGGCGATGAAAGGGTATGCTGCACTTGTACTGAGCTTGGGCCACAACATTTTGAATGTAGTAAATGAATGCATTGACTTTATTGAGTAAATAATCATTTTTACACAAATATAAGATTTAAGACAAAATATACATATTTTTCTCAAAGTAATAGCTCGAAAACTCTATGGCAGCAGAGAAGGTTATCCTATCCTTCAAACACGTAATCTATCTAGCTAGTCTGGCAGCCGAGTTCGACTTGCTCAAACAAAAACACAAAAAGGACTTTTATAATTTTTATCATAGCTTGAATACCAATTTCAAATGAATTCGGCGAATTGATAGATACTCAATGATGCTCTTTAAATTCAAGAGGAAAATAAGAGTGTTCTAGTATACATACATATAAGAAAACAGATTCAAACGTGGTTGCCAGCAACAAAATATAATAATTGGATAATATGATAATATTTAAGCGATGGTTTTGGCTAAATAAAACTAGCAAGGAACCTGTAGTCGATAGAAAAGTTTGATGATGGTATTATGATGCAGATGGTTTCTGGATATTTATAATACGTACTCTACTTTTGAAACTTCGATCATAACTTGAGAAAACTTCACAAAACACTATATATCAAATACTTCTCTGTGTTGTTCTGGTTCTGCTCAAAGTTCTAATTTGATCAATATTCGAAATATATTCGAAAAATAAGAATATATCAGATATTAAAAGCCTTACTTAATTTATCAGAAGTGTGTATGATAAACGAAGTTTAAGTTGAACCCGATTGGATATCGATCGCGTTTGAATAATTGCCTGCTGAGATGATACTGGTTCACGCCCGAGAGAAGCTTCCTTAGTTTTGCGTGTTAAGTGGTTTTTGTTCTCTAGCAAGCGGCAATTACAATCAGATTAGTGGCATGAGTCCTTAAGCTCTTTGAAGCAAATGCAATGGTATAAGGGTTCGTCTTTGCCGTGAAACATTGAATACTCATTCATGATGTGAACTGAAGAGAGCATATAGGTTTTGTGTAAATTACAAACTGATGTTCGCATGAACCCAAAACATTACACCAATAATTTGCAACTTGGTGTGACTGATCAGGAAAGATTGTATTTTCTACAGTTTTGCAGCTCTCCAAATTTGAAAAGTATGTTACTATCGAACTCCTGTGCAGATCGACAAAGAATTAGATAATTAGATTGAAGAACATTAGGTGAGGCAAAGCTGTCTGTTAACTTGTTTAAACATTAAGCTGCAATGCAACTGTGATTCTGTTATCTGTTAAAACCAGGGTACAAAAAATAAATCAATAGTTATATTTAGATATTTTTATAGATATATTTAGATGGCTACAACGAACAATATAATTAATATAAATTCATAAAAGAAAATACCAAAGCACAACCATAAGCTGCGATGTCACTAACAGAACTGTTAACTAACAGTAACAGATGTAACATGCAGTTACATCTCTCACAAAGACTATCGATAACCCTATTTTGTCGCGATTTTCAGAGCTTACACGTCGGACCATCAAATGAGATAAAGCTTCGATCATCGGTTACTGTAGCATACTTAAGCCAGCATGAGACTCGAAACTCTAATACGCATTGTCCAGTGATTTGTGTATATATATATAAATATATATAGTGTATATGCATTCCTACGAGTGTATGTATAAGTCGATCGTTTTGGCGATCTGTTACGACCATGCGGGTTACGAGGCGTCACAATATTGACAGCGGTTGTATGCCAATTCTGTGGATATGCCCAGAGGATTGCTTTTAAGTAATTTTATCCTCATCCAGAATGCCACGAAGATGTCCACAAGCGGAGCAGCGCACATGCAATGTGAACGCATACATTGAAAGATTGGCTGGAAGGAAGGCCGGATGGATGACATGAATGCATGAAAACTTTGTCAGTCGCGTAATCATCGTAATAATTCGCTTCAACTTCAACAGTTGGCAGCAACGAGAAGCCAAGCGGAAATTACCAACACGCGATATTTAATTTTACCAAAAGGTAAACCAATCATTCGTCTGCTACGGCTGCGGCTGCGGCTGCTTTTGCTCTTCAACTTTGTTCAGTAGAGATAATTCCTCTGTCGAAGCTTCTGGGCATTCTTTACCTCTACTAAATGTATGAAAATAAAAAAATTGTATTCAAAATGTTTTCAGAGCTTATAATCAGTTTTCTCAGCAATGGAAGTGGATCCGAATTATAATTTCAACTAGGCCACACGCTGCAACTTCAACATTTATAAAAATATTTATAATTTATATGGAAAAGTTTCCGCAATGCTCACAAATTAAGAAGGAATCCTTTGACGCTATTTACATTATCATTTTATAAGGAAACGAAAGCGTAAGAGTTTTCTGGATCAGCATTAACAGCCAAGTCGATTGGACCGATTTCTCTACCTGTTCACATACAACTTCTGAGCTACTAAAGGCAAAGGATTTTGTATCACTATTTTGTATACTCACTGCCAAAAGAATATTAACTGTCTGTCCGTCACAATATTCCCCGTCGCTATTAGCTTGACCCTACCAAATATTTTTGGATATTCAATATCTTTACTACAATTGTAAAGCTGAAAACTCTAACTTTACCAGATTGATAGATAATCAGAAAAAACTATATGCTGCCCTGATTTAAAGCCACCAGCAACAAGTACAGTTATGTAAATAAAAGGACAATTCTAAAGGTCCAATTGGAAATATAGCTGGCCAGTTCTGTATAGATTTTTCCATATTTTACCGGTTGCAGCCCACATCGAAGTGCTTAGTTAATTAAACGTGATCAAAGCTTTTGAGAGTTTTTCAGAATCCAGCGTTGAAATGTGTATAAGTTTTTCAATTCTGGCTTGTAGAATAGAAAATATTTTACTCTTATCCATGCTCTTTATTTAAATTAAGCCAATTTAAGTTTATTGAAATAAAACTTTGCGCATTTTATAATTTGTTTCTTTCGTTTATTCAGTCAATTTCACAAAGAGAGATGCAGTAATATGGACCTACTTATCATTCACAATAAAACATACTTAAGACTGATGACTAAGCTTATGGCTATGTTCCTTGTCGAAACTCAATAAACACCAGTTCGAAGACATTATTAAACCAGACTCTAGTTGGAGATTTACTGTCTTTCCTATGTAGAATATAAAGCAGAATTTACTCCAGCCCAAGTTCTCCCCACTGCGATGAGAAATGTACACCATTCGATTTTTGAATATGAATGAAATATTTATCCAGATTTTCATACAACTTAATAAATTACTAATAAATTGTCGGATAACGATACGATAGTTAGCGTACACAGTTTGAAATAGGACACACAAGACTTTAGGAGGAAGTTTATATATGTATAACGTAAACACAGATCACAAATTCGCTTGTATTTAATATTTTATTTCGTTGTTTCTTACAAATACATATTTAAGTTATTTCTTATAGGAAAAATAAACAAACGTAATAAATTAATTTTACAAATATGCCAAAAGATTTAAGCTATTTAATACATCTAGAACTTTTACTTTTGGAGGCTTATTGCATTTGGTTTTTATACACAGTCAATGATGGTTATGTTGCGACATTAAAACTAATTAGTTGTAATAAGTTGTAATAATTTCATAGGTATTATTGCTTGGATACAATTTTAAGATTAAACTTGCAACTGTTATCTTGCCCGGGAAGAATAACTTATAGGATGGGATTGGATTTGACTACGCTACTTAAGGACGATTCAAGAATTAGAAATACTTTAGAATTATCTACAGTGGTAGCTCCGAAATTGACTATTGATCAGCATCGCTATGTATTGAAGTGCTGGCCGTACTGCTTTTATCGGGACTGTGTGATCTGCTGTTAGCCGGACTGGAGACTTTTGAAGCACTCGACCGCACAGACAGATCTTCTGGTTCGCTGTCATAAAAACTTTCTTTGGAAGACTCGCTGTGAACCGAAGGACTCAACCGCTTCAGCACATCATTCGTTCCACTTGTCGACTCCATCGCACTAGGCAGCCCATCAACTGCAGGATGCATAGAAGCAGCAGCAGCTGCAGCGAATGCAAAGAAATTCAAACTTGCGCTGAACATTTTACACCAATCCAAAAGAGCTCCACCCTGGCCATCGCCATCTGCCACTTGTGTAGAATTTACAGCTGTTTGGCTTGATTGAGCTTCGAATATGGGTTGAATCATGGAAGGAAGCGCAGCCTGGTTGTTGTTCATGCTTGGAGTTGTTGTGGATGTAAAAGCACAGTCAATATCATTATTGTTATTATCATTAATGTATTGAGTTTGGGTGGGCGATGGATTGTGCTTGGCTGGATCCTTCGCCCAGTTCTTCACACTCAGCAAGGGACAATTATATTTTTTGGCTTCTTCTAGCGTAGTAGGAGTGCAGTCAGGCTTTGGATTCGGTATGTTGTTTGGTTCCGTAAAATTAAGCTTGGGCGACAACTTGGAATTGAAAAGTGCCAATAAGTTAATCTGATGCACCATATTGCTGGTTGAATAGCCCGACACTGGTGAAGCGGAATCTTTGCTGGCAGCGTGGGCTTCCGTTATTTGCTGGATTGCTTCGGGGTTCAAGCTCTTTTGTTTTATAAACTCGACTAATGCAAACTTTTCCAGCAGTGCCTCGTTGTGAGTTGTGTAGGTCATCGCTTGGCACGGCAAACTGCCAATGCTGAGATCATCATAATTGGGCATTGTTGCAAATTTCGGAGGCAGCAATTGTAGTTCGAATTTGGCGCGTTTTTCTGGAGGCGTATCAAGGCTGGGCAGCCCCAAGTTGTCTGTGCCCAATTGACGGCACATGAATCTTAATTTTTGCTCATTTTTACACCAACCACGTAGCGTTGATTCTGGAACTCCTATGTCCCTGGAAACACTGGCTTTTGTTTCGCCATTATGAATTCTTTGAATTGCCCGCACTTTATCGTTCGGCGTTAAATTTCGTAGTGGGCGTTTGCCCCGAGTACTCATTCGAATATTCATATGCTGGTAGGCTGATATGTCCATTTTAAAATATTTATTTAAATTGACCGCAAACGATTGCGATATTCTATGCGCGCTGGTCAAGTTTACACGAATAAAACAACTGGTAACTGCGAGTATTGCGGCAATTGTTGTTCACTCTTCGAATTAACAGAAGGATGTGATTTTAATTCGGCGAACGTTGTCCTGTCGAAGCTGTGCTTGCTCCAAAGCGAGTTCAACACGTTTGCGGCGAAGAGCATGAACACAGCATACACAGCCATGTGTATGTGTGTGTGCACATAAACGAATGCCCATTTACTAACTCACACACTCACAGGCACACGTGCTCATGCTCTCTCGGAGAACAGGCACGAGAGAAATTCAGCAACAAGAACAACGAAAGAGCAGTTTACCACCACAACAACTTGTTACTCTGTCAAGCAGAGTTCGCTTCGCGCAAACGCTGTGCACCACAACTGAATGGGAACAGAATTGACAAATAAGACTAAGGTAATAAAACTCTTGATTTGGGTACGGTTTGTCTTACCCCTCTCTCAGCTGATTTGGCTTAAGAGCCAAGTTTCTGTGGTCCATTTAGTCAGTTCAGTTTTTAAACTCAAATTTACATGTATGTATATATATATATATATATATATAAAAAAATTTATATATAATATGTATATTTTACTTGGTCCCATAGATATAATTAACAGCTTTCATACTATAAAAATATATATTCTTTAATTTCCAACAGTCTGAATATTAAGAGTTAAGAAACATCTAAATTAAGGAATCGCCACTATATCTTTAAATATTACTAATAGCATCAAAACTAAAAAGATCTACATATTTAACCCGAAAGATTAAATAATTAGGATCTATTAGTAACAAATATCTACAATTATCCAGCCCCTAATCTTGGTACATAAATATTTTTTTTTAATTTTCAGCGGTTAGCATTTGAATTAAATTGACTTTAGTGGATGGCTAACGCAAATCGAATTATGGTATTCATCGACGAGAGTTTACAACTTTCGATAATTGTTAAGTTGAATCTGCGATAAATTGTTACGACCGCGTTCATTTTTGGTTTGATTTTTTAGTGTATTAATAAAATAATAAAAAATTATAATAATATGGGCCAGGATAGTATTTTATGTTAAGTTTAGCATTTTTTGGAAGCTGAAATCGGAAGTTTTATGAATATGAATTGCTAAAAAATATGTAATAAGTGGGAAGCAATTTTTAGCGCTTAGTCAACTTTGATAAACCTTTTTGATATACTCCCTGTCATATTTGGGAAGAAATTTACATAATTTCGCATAGGAAAAAAGAAACATTGTCCGTTTTATCTACTGTGTTCCATGTAATGCGTAATCCTTGTTTCCAGTTAAACTGGAATGAAATTATGGCAACTTTAACTCAATTTTCTTTCTTAAACTCAGTGAACACAAAAATTGAAAATGCGGTTAATTAATTTGTATATTATATAGAAATATATTTAAAAAAAAAAACAACTGTAATTCTTCAAATATATTTTCTACGCAGATGTTTAGCAAACAAACCTTCAAAGATTATTATTTTGATGTTCTTTTTTCCTTTTGGGTGGAGTTCATTTTCAAATTAAAATACTATTGGAAAATAATTATTAATCCAATTAACTTTTCTCGAGATTTTCGCAAGTGTTTGAGATTATCCCCTTCTTTAATATAGCTGACATATAAAATGTTATCTGTTGATGAACGGCAGCATTCATTATATTTAAATATTTCAACAGATCTCATGAAAATTTGCCTCTTAGCCATGCTTTTGTAATGCCACAGAACTCTAACTATTATCTATATATCTTATTTGCTATTGCATTAATAAATTCAATTTCAGTGCGCGCTAACTGAGCACAAACCAAAAATGCAACGTAAATAACAGAACTGTTTATTAACATTCAAAATAATGTAATTGCTCTGCTATCCTTCTCTGCTAAAAGAGTATTGCTCATCGAGGCCGCCGATGAAAGACTCAATATTGCTTCATCATGCTGCACTGTGACTGATTATTTTAAGTGATAGTCGAGCCAATTTAATTATATAAATATGTAAACATATATGAACATTAAAAAAATAAATATCCCGTTTTAAACCTGGTTTCAATGCACGATATTTTTAAGAACGTAATCGATAACTAAAAACTATCGTTTTTACTCATTTCACACTGTAAGCCAATTTAGATCTTTAATATAGTTGTGCTTAAAATTGTTTCCTCCAGCTAAAATCAAATAAAAGGTTAACCGGTTTAGCAACAGTCATGGCTATTCTATCTGTATTTTCGAAAACTAAATTAAATAATTATCCAATTACTAACAGCACCACAAAAAAGTTCTTGAGAAAATTGATAACTTTAGCCTTTTAGCACACTGCTCCACGCAGAACATGTTAATCCCGCTAAATATTTTGTTTACTGTATTCCTCAAAACTTAAACGTTTTAAAACGTTTTCAAATTCATAATGGATTTAGAAAATAATAACAATACAGTGTTGCCTGAATGCAAAAAGGAACACGTTGATAATAAACGTTCAGCATCCGTCGAAGAGAACAACGCTGCATATATCAAAAGATTGAAAGTAGGCTACAATGATACAAAAGTGGAGGACGCACATGTGACTGAGGATAACAAAAAAGCACCGACACAGAGCCCGAAAAAGCGTATACAACTGAATAATAGCAAGCCTAAGGTCAATAAAAATGAAGCATTTACATACGGCAACTATAGGCATTATTATGGCAAGCGTATTCTGGACACGGACTTCCATGACATACGCCTGGATATGCTTGCCATGCAGCCGGAGTTATTTCGTGGCAAACAGTTGCTCGACATTGGCTGCAATTCCGGTCACTTCTCTCTGGAAATAGCTAAAAAGTTTGAGGCAAAGAGTCTGGTTGGCCTGGACATCGATCGCACACTAACAAACGAGGCCCAATTGGCTGTCAATCTGCTTAAACGTTGCAGTAATATTTCTGCAACAACGGCTGCTGGAAAATTTCCATACAATGTGAAATTTGTACATGGCAACTACGTGCTAGCGGACGATGTGCTGCTTGAAATCGAGCGACCACAATTCGATGTTATACTCTGCCTCTCAGTCACTAAGTGGATACACCTCAATTTTTGTGATGCGGGCTTGAAGCAAGCCTTTCGACGGATGTACCTGCAGCTGCATCCAGGTGGCAAGCTGATACTAGAACCCCAGTCATTCGATAGCTATAAACGACGGAAAAAACTGACTGTAAGTGGAACTTAGCATTGGCCAATTAGGAAAATAACCTTTGATACCTCTTTCTTTTCAGGAGAACATAAGGAAGAACTACAATGCCATTCAATTCAAGCCAGATCAGTTTAGCGACTATCTACTCAGCCAAGATGTTGGCTTTGCCGACATGCAGCTGATGGGCGTACCAGCTCACTGCCAAGCGGGCTTCAAGCGTCCCATACTGATATTTAGCAAAGTCTAATCTAGTCTTTAGTATTTAAGGAAGATGTTAAAACACTATAATATTGAATATTCACTGTGTACGTAGCTTTTTATTGGGCGATGGTAATTGCTCTAGTATGGTGGGCATCTTTTCTAGCAGCTGCTCGGCACTCAATGTAAAGTCGCTGTCTGCCCACAGGAGGCGCAATTCGTTTAAGACCACGCCCACTTGCTTACCTACCAAGCCGTATGGTTTTAGCGTGTTGCCATTAATAGGTAAGCTGGGCGTCTGCCACTTCTTGAGCTCCGTGTAGAGCTCCAATTTGTTGGCATATTTTAGTAGCTGCTCAACGTAATCCCGTTTGGCATACGGCTGAAGGCACAATTTTTGATAATCACGTAGACAAGCATAATCGGAGTTTACCTGAAAAGACAGAATTGATCAAATTCCTAATTAAGGTAATATTTATTATGAAGATTACTCTGTCCCGCTGCTGCGTAATGAATAAAGCCAGGTCGCGCTCATAGGCACTAAGCTTAAGACGTTCGTGTAGCTTCATGGCCTCTTCACTGCTATGGAGCAAAGCAATCAAATATAGAATTGGATAATGTGGCTCATCGAAAAACTTGAGATCGACGCACAGTCGCTCAAACTCTTCAAGATTCGGATGACTGGGTAGTCCGCATTGCTGCAGCAAGTCGCAATTGTTCATTTCCAGCAGCAGCTCGCGATTAAAATTGCCAACTACAATCTTTTGAAGCTCTGCCCAAATGCGTTCGCCACTAATGCGTGCCAGACCATCGGCATTGGCCTTAATGGCCGCCAGCGTTGCCTTGTCATGGGAGTCTGCCTTCGCTGCTATGCGGCCATAGAAGCGAAAGTAACGAAGAATACGTAAGAAATCCTCCTTGATGCGCACATCGGCATCACCCACAAAAACGACGCGACGTTTTTGTACATCATCGTAGCCGTAAAAGTAATCGTAGACTGTGCCATCGAAGCCGAGAAACATGGAGTTAATGGTCAAGTCGCGACGATTAGCGTCCAGTTGCCAGTCCGTGGTAAAGACAACGTCCGCGTGGCGTCCATCTGTGCGCACATCGATACGCAACGTTGTCACCTCGAAATTCTCTTTGTTGTGAATGCGAGGCGTAATTGTACCATGCTTTTCGCCCTTAGCGTTAATCAGTCGCACCTCTTCCTTAGCAAACATCTCCTTCATCTGATCCGGCGTTGCAGTTGTGGCAAAATCAATGTCTTTCGGTTTGATGCTCATCAATATGTCTCGAACGGCGCCGCCAGCAATCCGCAGTTCGTAGTTATATTTCTTAAACAGAGCCACGAGAGCCTGCAACTCTGGTGTAAATATGCTATGGAATTCATCGCTGTCCACCTTCTTAAATGCGGGATTCTCACGCATCTTGGGCGGCTTTCCAAGCTGTGCTATTATCTCCGACGAAACTTTCGTCGACTTTTTGGCAATATTCGTTGGCGATGCCATGCGGCGCACAGATGTTCCGGAATAACAAGAGCACTGAAGCAAACGAGCAGAAGTCGATGCAGTGGCACCCGGCAAGCTCAGTAACTTGGTAATCAAGCATTTACCATGCATTTAAAAGCTGTGAAGCCCGGGAACATGCATTTATTAAACTTCAAAAAAATCAAAAATATCCAGCTAGGCAAGTAAATTATGTTAAAGCAGCTGATGACAATTTTAAGCCAGCTGATGAAACTCAGATTTGACTAACGTATGGGTTTTCGCTCCACAGCGACAGCTGACTGCTTTGGTATCGACAATATTAATAATCGGTTATCGAAATAAAACCATTTGCAATCAATGAGCGGTTTCTCATGGACATAATTGAATGTCATTAATGTATCTAAAATAAAAAAGGCTATTTCGTTTCTCACAAAGAATAGATTTGCATTCTTAAACTATATTAATTTTTAACCATTTCTTCGACAAATACCATTCCCATAGAAATGAATAATAATAAATTAATCAAAATGATAGTAATTATACACAATTTATTATTTCTAATATATATGTATATATATATATATATATATATATATATACCAATTTGCGCAAGTTGCAGTTCCTTTTTCCAATTTCAACAAGCATTTCTACTAAACAGTTTTACACATTGGGTATGTAAGCATATATAGTATTTCTTAATATGTATAAATTTGGGCTTACATTAAAACATTATATACATAAATTACGAGTGCGGAAGTAGCGATTCTTAAAAATAACTGAGAATTAAATTTGGACAATAGAATGAATTTCTAATTGATTACAATCAATGAATTAAAAAAAAAACAAGAAATGTAGCTACTTCCAATCTATATATACCAAACATATATATATATATATATATATGTATATATATATGTATATATATATATCTACATATATACATGTTGTACATGTGTGTGGATGTATAGCAACTACCAATCTTTAGTTAAAGAATTTTTAAATTTAAATTGCAGAATATTTTTTGTATTATGATAGTTTTGTCCCACTGCCAAAATTCAGGCTCAGTAAAAACAAGCATGACTTTCCACGTCTTTTCTTATATATAGTTATTCAATTTTACTTTCTTTGAATATGTATTTTTAATTATATTGATTTAATTTTTACAAGTTTAACATAATAGAACATCAGACATGTAAATTAAATTATTCGTTATGAGAAAAGTGAATCGTAATGTTGAGAAAAACCTAAAAATTGGTATATGGTCGCCAAATCCATGAAGCTTTTAACTTTTAACTAACATCTAACTAATAGACTATGCTCTTTACGATCTGACAATTTTTTACTCATTTAGTACATAACCTAAACACATGTGTAAAATATAACGAACCAGAAATTTCAAGATTATCGCAAAGACGCACTCAGCCCAATGCGTTGTTTAGTTATTTGAGCTAAATAGTAGTTACATTAACGTTGTATGGATGCTGCGATAGCAAGAAATAGCATTCGATCCAACGATTTACACTGACCTTAATTATTTCTATAATGCCTAATTAACTAACATATAATTCCGTTTATAATATATATATATATATATATATATAAATTTTTTTATATATATATAGATTTTTTCTTTTTATATATTTCTCAAACCTAACAGCCAGTTTATGCAAAAATATTTTTGATGCTCTTGTATTTATTATTGATTTTTTCTCATGTATTGTTCAATAATTTCATTTATTCATAATTCGCGTGTGTTTCTATTTAATGCTAATATTTTTTTATAATTTTTGTTTGTAGGTTTTTTAGTTTGTTTTTCTTAGTGCATTTCAGTAAAATCGGAGATCGCAGAATCTTGGGTTCAACACAATTTTATGGACGAGTCTCAATGCTATTTGCAGGCTTAGTATTACTCATTAGTTTTCTTGAACAGCATTATAAAGATTATCAACATTATAACCGAATAACTCCAGTTCGATATTTTCAGTATCTTCATTCCCACCGTCCTCGTTGTCGTCGTCATCGTCGTCGTTATTATCGCCCTCTTGCCCCTCCTCATCGCTTGAGGAATAAAGCTGAAGCGCCCGCAGCTGCATTTGCACAAAATGTTAATGTTCCATAAGGGCCGCTAAAACACAGAAAAAACCCAATCAGAATTTCAGATTCGAGGCGATAAAAAGTGAAGTGAGGTCTTACGCGATGGAGTTCGGCCGGTCTTGTTCTCATTGGGTGTGAAATTTAGAAAGTCCCATATCAAAATCGTATCATCGTGTGAGCTGCTGACAATTTGAAACTCATCGAATTGAAGGCGGAAAACTCGACCAGTATGTTCCTAAATATAATTAACATTTCATCAGTTATACATATAACTTATGAGAATTTAGAGTATTTACCACGAGCGTATTGAGGCACAGTGTATTAGAGGCGGCGCGTGGATCCAGAGCTGCAACCAAATCCCATACCTTAATCTTACCATCGTAGGCACCACTGACAATGCGCTTCGTATCAAAGCGGATGCAGCGCACCAACTCTTCATGACCTTCCAGCACACGCAGGCAGGCTCCGCATTCAATATCCCACAGCCTGTCGAGATATATATTTTAATAGAGATTAGGTGTACGAATAAATTTTAAATTACCTAATTGAATTGTCGGAACTGCCGCTAACCACTAGCCGATCTCTGTACTGCAGGCAAGCGATGCCACGTTTGTGGCCGTTCAGTGTACGCACAAATTCACAGCTCGATGTCGACCATACTTTGATGGTGCGATCCCCACTGGCAGACACAATATACTTCTCATCAAAGTCTACTACATTTACGGCGGCACGATGGCCGACTAGGACGCGACGCAACGTAATTTCGCTGGGCGAGGTCATGTCCCAGACCGCAATAGAGCGATCTTTGGAACATGTCACCATCATGCCATTATTGAAACGTAAATGTAGCACCGCCTCACAGTGATGAATCAACGTGTTGACCATCTCCCCAGTATTAACATCCCATACACGCACCGTGGAGTCGCTGGAGCCACTAATGATCACTTTATCATCATACTGTAAGCACAGAACCGAGCCAGTGTGTCCCATAAGTGTCTAAAATCAAGCAAAGAAGCAATTATTAATTAAGAGTTAATTTAACTCTTTCAAATTTAATTGAAATCTAACCTTGACACACTGCAAATCCGTTCGATCCCATATCTTAATGGTATTATCCCTTAGACCAGACACAATCTTCCCATCATCGTACTGCAAACAATAAACACCCTTAGAGTTCTCGGATCGACAATTGATACGGCGCAGCATGTGCCGTCCAGTTCGCCAATTGTTCTCTATGCTGTCAATATCCTAAGAATTACAATTAATTTGAATGTCAATTATTTGATTTCTCATTTTTGTTAGCCACTTACATTCATTATCTTGGGAAATAGTTCGCGATGGAATGAGTGTGGTCTCTGTGTTTGGCCGGGCCGTGGCTTGAACAGATGCTGCATCCAGTTGCGACGCTCAGCCAGGCCGCGCCATAGCGAGTCAGTGCGTACCTTGCGCTCAATGAGCTTCTTCCACAGCATGCCCTCGGATATAACGCGAAGCCATTCCTTGCACACCAGCTCGGCAGACTTGAGAGATTCGGCATCCAGATACGATAAAATATTCTCTGCAATATGATCGAGGCCTTTTTCTGTCAAGAAATAAAAGACGAATATAAAATTAGCCAAAAGTTAATATAAAATTATAAAAAGGTACCACTGATAGGCCCCGAGATACACTTATTTATATATACACTATCTTATTTTTTAAATTTTTAATACTATTAATTTTAAAAAATTTAAAAAAATATTTTAATGACCAGATTATCATATAACTGGAAAATTATCTAATCCAGATGATGAATGAATACGCGAACGACTTTATTTGTTAATGAGAGTTGATGACTCATGAAAACTTTCAGTTTGTTTAGCTTCAGTGCGTCTTGCTCTTTTTGAGCAATGCCAAGCAATTCAATATATAGGTAAATGAGTAACTAACATGCTTAAATATATCTACATTTATATATTAAGGTAAAAAAGAAACAACTAGTTGAAGGTCTCAGGCATGATTCATTGATGCAACAGTATATAAATTTACGCTCAAGAATTGCTTTACAGACACGCGCCACCTTCAAACTCAAGAGGGACCCACCTAGCGGTAATTTAGCAATGGGAGAGATAAGGAGAATTGAAAACGACCAATCGTCAGATGTCACAAGAGATTACTAAGCACAGCTATTATTGGAAGGAGCTAGGGGGAAGGAGAGCCGACCCTGTTGGGTCTGCAGTGAATTGCATAAAGTGCTGCATTTGCCAAACACAATTAAAAATGTGCATAACTCGCAAAGTGACTTTGCAACAACGACAACGTTGCAAATGCTGATGTAGTTCAAGTTGTCGTTGTTATTGCTTCGACGAGGTCTAACGGTTTATGTTGCCTGCCTATCCTCAGTCCAGCTGGCTGGCTGCTTCTCTCTTTCTCTCGCTCTCTACGCTTATGTGCACGTGTATGCGTGTGCTTAGTTAGCTGCCTTTGAAGTGCATTACAATGTAAATGAAAGAAACGGTGCTTATTCCCGCTCTCTTTCCCATTTTTAACACACACTCTCAATCCTGACTACACACAAGCAAAACAGTCCAACGAGAATTTGTTTCTTACTCTCTTTTGAATTGCTCTTTCCTAGCTGAGAGTTTTAACTATGTCATAAAATGTGTTACGGCATGGAAAAGTTTTGCTTTTTGAATCTAGATAATTTTTTAACTTGCTTCGCTTTCAAAGGCATTTTACCATTTCCTAAGGATGTCTTCTGAGTACGTTCACTTTCTAGACAAAAAGAAACTAAATTTAATTTATATAAATATTAATTTATATCTATCTTATCTAAATAACTACTTAAGAGACATATTTGTAGGTTTTGCTACACTAATCGGAATTTTATAGCTCTAAAATTGATTTCCTTGCTAAATATTTTGTTCATCGAATCAAATACTTAATGTATGACTTTTTGTTTTGCGCAGCGTTTGCTTGTTTTATTTTCATTCTGTTCCGGCAAAGCGCGTTTAATGGAAGCAATGACCTTTCAGTCAACAACATAAGCAGTGGAATCGCAGGCAGAAGCGGAGGAAGAGTCAGCGGCAACGACTCCACCAACAACAGAGAGCGCCACCTGCACTACCCTCCCCCTCTCCACGACTGCGGCCGCTGCCGCGTTCTCTCTCTCTCTCTCTCTCTCTTTCTGTAACAGTTGCACGGCAACAGCTAGGGGACAGGATAGGTAGGGGAAAAGGGAAAAGTAGATTCCATTCGTTCGGTTACCTTCACGTTTTGCAGTTCAACTTGGATTCTACACTTTTTTTTATTTGTTTGTTTTCCATGTTGCTTTTACTTTGGTTGTACTTTTAATCGATTATCTTTTAGTTCCAATATTCTGGTTTTTTTTATTTTTAAACTTATTTTTAATTAAGAGGCAATATACTAAAAATATATTAAAAATATAATGATAATACCTTAAGCACATTAATAGTACTTAAATTTTTTACAATACAATTTCAGAACTGTTTTTTTTTTATCATGAGAAGCATGGTCAATATGTATATATGTTCCTAATCAGGGCGACGAGATGAATCGATTTAGTCTGTTCGTCTGTGTGTCTGTGTATACGCAGGTTGTATACAAGATATGTACATCAGTGTCCGTTGGTTTCGGCATATGCACACAAGGAGCTTATACTGAACGAAACGGCACATCTGCTAATAGTTCAGGCTTACTACTAGCCTAAACTAAATCACTTTAATTTGCTTATGTTTGATATACTTACTTGGGAGCAGTGTTATAAAGTCGCGCTGTAGCATCGGCTTCAAAAAGGCATTGATCTGTCCGTGCTGATAGTGGCACATTCGCGATAGCAGCTGCTCGACAAAGTCCACCTGTGCGGCTTCGGTCCACTGTGTGAAGTACTGAAAGCATACATCCCGCTCCGTTTGATATGTGGGGGATGAATCTTTCTTGCGCACCGGATCGTACAGCATTGTGGTTGTGAACTGTATAATAAACAAAGAAAGAAAAGAGAGGAAAAAATGTTATTATGAAATTGAGTTTGCAGCTTAAGCAATATACATAATAAATATAACTCTACCGATGTCAACGGGCAGCGATTTCTAACGACGAACTGGAAAGTAGGTAACCTTTGTACTTCGCTATGGCATTAGCACATAGCAGGTTAAGTTTAAGTTGAAGTTGTGCAACCAGCAGATGAAATAACTTTGACCTTTGGCTTTCAATTACCCAATTTGTTTAATTTGAAAGATGGGCTTTTTGTAATTCTTGGTACTGCTACCAAATCGTGCACAGCTACAGGTGAGAACCAGAACAAGACCTACCTGTTCAGCCAAAATTGGTAAAAATTTATTTTTTTTGTATGTATTTCCATGTAAAGTTTTTTATGTGACAAGCAATGAAGAGCAGAGAAATTTCTCAAAAAAAAACTTTTTGGATCATGTTTCAGAAGTACTTGAATCTTACTCTATTCAATTAAATAACTTTATTATATTCTATTTATGCTCATGAGTAATAATAACAGTACAACAAAAAAAATATATATATATATGTATATATTAATATATATTTATATATATATATATATATATATATGACATGATAAGTGTTCATAGTCGAAATGTAGCTGTAATTGTACCTTGACTACAGATAAAGCTTGCCTATACATGTGTGTGTGTGAATAAACAATTGTTTGTATTTGTTTGTGTGTTTGCATGATTAGAGGTTTTAATTAATAGTATATATCATATTTACCATCGTTGATAGCATTATTGTTATTATTGTTATTGATATTTCTTTTCATTTGCGTTTGCATTAAAAGTAAAGTTAAAATCACTTCTTATACTAGAAGTTTGTTTAAGACTATTCAAGCATCTGGCATTCATAATTTCTAACGTTCAGACACTTGCCAGTGCAGTTAATAAGAAGACTATTCAGTTTTCTGTTTTCATACAGCTATGTGGGTCAGGGTACTACTTGAAAATTTTAACTCGCATATAGATATATTGCAGAAAAGCAAGGGCTAAATAAGAGGTGCGCGAAGCTGATTAGAGATGGCACTTTCGTCGCCGATAGTTCTCAATATTTAAATATTCCATATCCGATAACAGGAATCATAGATTGATACCAACTTATCAAGTTTGACAGTCACCAAAAACTGAATGGACATCAAGTATCGTTGCATTTTACTTCCACATTTTTTAATAAATCAAGCCATACGATTGACGATTTAAATGAAAGATGCAAGATATAAGACACAAAAACGAGAAGTTTATGAAATATATATCTATGGAAACAACGGGTCAGCTAGTTTAATAAGGATGGTTAGAAAAATATTTAATATGTAGATCTGCTTTCGATGATACTCATATTTAAAATGTATGGGTACATAAGTAAACCCTTGCCCTCGTGCATTACATTGTTCCTGTTACTACATTTTATTTGGCCCAGTTTCTTAAGCGGCATAAATTTATAATATAATAAAATAGTACGGTGAAAGGTCGCTTGATTGAACTTTCAATTTAGAAATTATTTATATCTATTGAAATGAACATAAATAAAACATAGTCCATTTAATAGCCAAACAACATTTATTCCATAAAGAATTAATGTGAATCATCTCGAGTAATTTACTTTTTTGGCAATTTTTTATCTTAAAATAAAAGTATTAATGTATAAGTAGATATATATATATATATATATATATATATATATATATATATATATATATATATATATATATATATATATATATATATATATAAAATGTACGAAAAAAATTGCTTATACGCAATTTGGTCGCCATCTCACCTTGATGTCAGCTTTTGGACTTGCAATAACAAAGACGACTCAAATGTAACTTAATTGCTGAACGCGTACATTTTGGTAAAAAATCAACTTTTGACCCAGAAACAGCCACTGCACACAGCAACACAAACCAAACAAATAAATTTATAAAACGTTTGACTGTTTTTTCATGCAGGGACTATTAACCTTCATATATATATATACATATATATATATATATATATATATATAAACAGGGATTAAAGGGATTGAATACACATTATTACTAATAATACTGTATATATAATTATGTATACATATTTATATATAACAGATTTGTGTACATAAACAAAACTTGAAAGTAACGAAGGCCAATTAACTGCTAATTACAAAAAATACACAAAGTCAGTTGAAGTAAATAAATGTCTTATTATGAGATACCCTGTACGTTTTTCTGATTTGATAAAATCAGTATTATAACATATTATAGCAATTATTGTACTGATATAATAGAGGAATTTAAATTTGAAACTTCAATCGATGGCCGATCGCTTATGTAGATAATATTAGTAGTTTGCATATATGTAAAATCTTTTTTACTTATGCCTACATCTGAACAGATTCGGACCATACCCATTTATTTCAATAATTAATGGGTACACAAAAAATGTGAGTAACTGCGAAATGTTTAAGGTTAAGCATTAAAGAAGAAAAGCTAACAAAATTTTTATTAGAGTGGACGAGTGAAAAACACATGTACATATGAATATACATATATAAGTGTGTGTATGTATACAAAAATAAAACAGAAATACTTATGCACAAAAATATATGCTTGCATATGCGACACCTTGAACATAATGTATGTACGTAGAAACGTATCTATGTATTAATATTGACATATTTACAAATGAACATCTGAAGAAAATGAATGAATAATGTACTTACTGCTTGTGCATTGGAGTTAGTCTCGTCCATTATTTTGTCAGTCTCCATTTTTATCATTGTTGTTGTTGTTTTGTTGTGTTTGTTAAATTTGTGTAGCTGCTCAAATTGCTGCTCTTTAATGCACGCACACACACAATCACACAGTGACTTTTTTCGCAATTAAATCAAGCAATGTGTATTTATTTAGCACATGGATTTTGGGCTATAATTTATAATTGGGCATCATTGGTAAGTTGAAAGAAAATTACAAAATGTGATTTGAGGTGTCCCTCTGCAACAACTCTCTTTTCAGGGTGGTGTTTAGCGCTTTCTCGTTTTTACCCAGTTACAAATTTCATTGCTTACTCGTTCGCGCTATATATATGTACTGTGTATTCACCACGGAACGCGTTTCTGCCACCAACAAATTCGTGTTATTCTCTTTGACAAGTCATTCTTTATATTTTTCGTTTGCTAGTTGCTGTCCGTTTAACACACCTAAATAGTTTTTAATCACACCGTGCAATTGCCTGCAAATACACGTATATTTGTGTGACTAATAAACATTAATTTTTAAATAATTTTTACAAATTTTTCTCCACTATTAAATGAGCGACGGCACGTAATGTTAGTTGTACCACAATATGCAATATGTTCAAACGAACGACTTTCCGAACTGAATGAACAGACGAGCTCTCGTTTGTTGTCTTGTTGGTTCCAGCTGTATGTCTGGTTCAACCTATCGATATCACACTCATTCGATTCACTTTTTATTTTAGCTTAGTTTTGAAAATTTTATTTTGAAATTGAATTATATTTGAATTAATTCAATTAAATATTATGTAGGTTATAATATTGAATTAATTAAAGTAAAAACAAAACATATGCTCCATAAAATTTATAATGAAAGTTAATATACAAACGCATTGAAAGTATACCAACGAATGAAATTATGCATAATACTAAAAACAAACAATCAATTCCTTCATATTTTCTACCTAGATTTATACATAATATATGTTTTAGGTTGTCTGTATGCTATACAGTACATTGCTCAATTTAGCGTAACTCAGCTCTATTCTGCTTAAATACTGATCGAGTTGAACGGTCACACTGCATGCGATCTAGTTCACTATTGAACATTTGAGTTTTATGTTATTTAATTTTGATTGATAAACTATTTATATTTGGGGCAGAGGGGCACGGCTCCAGATAACCTTGACGCCTAATAGTATAGCATTGACGCAAGTAAGAGCTAATAATTAAGATCACAACATATATTCACATTTACTCGACCGCAACGGTCGTTCGATTCTCACACTGCTTCCAAATTGTAAGCTTAATTTTAAATAGACAGTTATTCGTGACAATTTTTATTTTACAATATCGTTTGTTTTTACTTGTTTCTTTTTTAATTGATTAACTTTTCAGTGGTTCTGCTCAGTCGTAGTCTGATGGCCTGCCAACGCACTCAAGATTTGGCCAATTTCGTGTTCGAGGGCAAAAAGATCATAGGCGTTGCTTTAAATTATATGTAATTTATTTCTTAATGAAATATTGACATGAGTATTAAATGATCAGAAAATAATGTTAGCTTTCTTATGCAGGTGCGCGGTAAAGGCGAGAAATGTGCCGGTGCCAACGGTACCAATCGTTTTCATAAAACCCACAACATCTTATCTAAGAGAAGGTCATCCCATTGTCGTGAGTGAGATGAGTTTTATATTTTTATCCTCATTGTTTAATAAAACAGTATATTCGTTTTGTTCAATGTCCGTCTGAACGTGCACCTACCTGTCTGTATGACCGCAATCCATTTCGCCGCTCTTGAAGCTAAAGGCCTGAAATTTTGATAACATACTCGTGAGATACCCTCGTCTTATAGTGCTTAGATTTTATGGTCTATATCTTATATGTCTGAATATTTATTATTTCTAAATATATATATATATATATATATATACTACCATAGGATCCTGGCAAATCGTAAAAGCGTGAGAGTTCGATTATTGAGTTACTTTTGACCACATCTATCGATGCATCGAAAAAATATTCGGCCTATAACAAAAAACAATGTATTGTATATAGTTTTGGTCATCGTCCTATAGCAAATCGGAAAAACTTAAAAAATTATGCAGTCTGTTTTTACTAGCGTATTAAAATTTGTTTTACTTTTAGTTGCCCAAAGTTTTTACTAAAGTGGCCTACGAAGTGGAGCTAGGCGTTGTAATTGGAACACGGTGTAAGAATGTATCCAAAGAAAAAGCAATGGAATTTGTGGGTGGCTATTGCTTGGCCCTGGACCTCACTGCCCAATGCAATTTAACGGCGGCACGTGCCGCTGGTGGCTCCTGGACACTTGGCAAAGGATTCGATACTGCTACTCCAGTTTCGCGTTTTATACCCAAGGATGCTATCGAAGATCCACATATGCTCCCCCTCTGGCTGAAGGTCAATGGCGAAATAAAGCAAAAGGGCTGCACAGCAGATTTGGTCTTCAAAGTGCCTGACATCATTTCCTATGTATCCAAGTATATGACCTTGGAGCCAAATGATTTGTTATTAACGGGTACGCCTCATGGCTCGGATGCCTTTCAGGCGGGTGATCTGATTGAGTGCGGGCTTGCCGACTTGGCTACCATGAAGTTCAATGTATGCGCCGAGTAGAACGAGTAAAACTCCAAAGATTTACACCACCTGACATCTAGCAAATTAACGTGTTAACAAAATCCAACGTTTTTTAGATCTACAATTTTAATTGAGTATCTCCTATTATGTTTGCTGATGTTCGTTACTATGTAATGATCTTTGAATATATTGAGGGATCTACGATTCTATTTGCTGCTCTTAAAACGTTTATTGAAAACATATTCATTTTACTTTCTGCTTTTCTTTAGATCATCGCAGGCAATCAGATACTTCTTCATAGCTACGCAATCATCCGTATTTTTCCATAAAGAAGCCGGACAGTTTTGGTACACCTGTTCCATTATACAGGCCAACAAAGTAGCTGGATAATAATCACAATTGTCCTTTGCGTGCATCCATTCGAATTGCTTTGTGCGGGTGTTAGCTATTTTATTTATTTATTTTTAAAACAAATTACCTTTTTATTATTCGAGTTCTATAATTATTTGAAAACAAAAATACTTACCATAATCCACGCAACTATTCAAACTCTTCACAACAAGTTGCGCTAAAGCAGCATCCTTTTTATAGCGCTGCTCGAGGTTCTTTTGCATAACGGCGAGGTTAACAGAACCATTTAAGTACAAGAAGCCATTCTTTTTGAAAACACACTCAGCCATACACTGAAAAAATTAAGCAAGCTAATAGTATTTAGAAACCACGTTAAATTCACGGAGCCTTGACAAGCAGATTTGAAACCAAGATGAATAATAAAAACCTTATGTTAGGATTGTTAAATAAAATGATATAAAAACGAGTATTTTTGAGAAATTTTACTTACTGCATGTAAAGCTACTTTATCCGATCTTAAATTACGGGTTTCGGCATTGTTTGTGGTACGGTTGGCCTGGCTCAGCAAAGATTGGCGACAGGATTTGCTGTATTGATCATTTCTAGGTACATTACAACAGCTGCCTAACTAAAAACTAACAACTTTTAGTATTTCATTAATTTTTATGCAAAATGAAACTTACGATTTTAGTCTGTTTGGTTTTATCGCAGCTGGTTAAATTTTTCGAGGTTGCATCAATTATACAAATTGATAACATAAACATGAAATATGAAAGTATATAATTGCAATTCATTTTGTTTTTGAAGCGCTCTTAAATGTACACGAGCTTAAATAACTTTCCAACGCTAACCGAATGTGAACAAGTTAAATGTTGCATACAAAAACAGATTTTAATCAAAATTACCGGTAATGACTCCATTTTATAAAATTGTATTAACGGTTTTAAAAAAAGAAAACTTTATACTTTGGTGTTATTTCTGTTATATTTGTGAATAAACAGATTACCAAACTTGTATAAATAAAACATTGATACGAAATATAGATAGAAATTTTTGACAGCTTATGTACTCATGCACCTTGATCTAAACGCATTTTAAAAACATTAAATTATCTAATGGATAGTATGTAAGAAAGGTTAAAAGGCACCGAATCGGTTATACTCTATACGTATCCAACTGAGCCTTTTAACATCGTATAGTAACATCAGTAAATGCTCTCTGTAAATAATATTTAAGACACTTTAAAGTTAGCAGAGCTGCAAGTAACACAAATCGGAACCACTAAAACAATCGATAAGTGGAAATGTTTGTAAACAATAGAAAGACAAATGAACTTCGAATTCCAAAATGGAAACAAATTTATATAAGGGAAATGTTACAACATTTCGGAATCAACCTTCGTATAGGGTTTTCAACAAATCGATTGAGCACACCGACGACTCACTTTTTACCTTTCTAAACGATGTCGATTCGGAGTTGTTGAAGGATGAGCAAGTGGCTCGATCGAACGTTTTTACATCATATGCCTCTCGATTTACAAGAAAGGATCCACGCACGCAACAATTGATGAATTGCACCATTTATGACCACACAACGAATCTGCTGGCATATGAGTTTCCAAATCCGCAGGAGCGCTTTTCATCGCTAAGTGCCGCTCAGCAGACTGCCTGTCTACGCTTGCTTCTGGCCTGGCAACAAAACTTAGCAGAGAGCGAGGATGATTTCGTCGTGTGGCGTGTAACGAATGGCAAACGGTGCAAGGAGCAGCAATTGGTACAAAAGCACATTTTTGACTATGCCAATGCACAGAAGGAAAGGATCTATGCACCGATGAAGCCGCTGGTCCTGCTCTATAGCAAATGGTTCACGATGCGAATGCAACATGTGATCCGTGGACTACCTAATCACAGTTACGCAACTCATTCTGGTCTGCCACAGCTTTCGCAATGCAAGGCTCTCAATGAACAAGCAGCCAGCATGGAAGATATCCACCTAATTTGTCATCGAGGTCTCGTCAGACTCTGGCCAGAGGTACGAATGTCAGGACAGGAGCTAAGCAACCTGCGTGTAAGGTTGGAACGTTACGCCTATGCTGGGACATCAGATAAGCCCGCTTCCCAACTGGTTGAAACTACACTGGAGCAGCACCTGCTGGAAGCAGATAAGGATGTGTATGTGGTGCCCTTGGAATCACTACTACTGCTGTTGACGCCTGGTGCATATGTTGACTTGCCCACAGAAGTGCTGCTGCACATTCGTGAGATTCCAAATAGTGAACACAAATGCATTCAATTTGAGGAGCCAATGCCAGCACGCAACTGCGGCTGGCACACAAATAGTCGTCTCTTGACAGCTGCCTATGCAGCCTATGGAACAGCTCAGTGGCTGCAGCTGTCTAATGATGTTGAAGAAATAAAGAAGCAGCATGTTGCTCAACACATAACGACACAGAAGTTGGCGAAGGAGAACGTAGGCGAATTGTTAATGGAGTACAAACTGTTGCCAATCGATGACGATGCTCCCGTTGTAACTGAGGCTAAAGCCAACTGCGCACTGGTCAGCTGGCGGCTACGTGCTGCAGAATCAAAGGAAAGTTTGTTAATGTATAGCAGCCTATCAGTTGCAGCTGTACGTGATCCTGCGGCCAACCAAATTCTAGGTTGCCATCTCATCAAGCTGGAGAATAAGCCCGATTGTGGCTGTGAGATTATGACGAAATACGAGCTACTTAGCGCTTGGCTACAGTTCCAACTGCTCCAAAGCAATGTGGGTCATTGCTCGCGGATTTCTTTGCGAGATCTGTCGCCGCTGTTGGAGCAGCAGCTAACGCTGAGTGCAGTGGAGCAGCAGCTGAATGAATACTACCAAATAAGCATGCCGCAGCTTCTTAGTCAGTTACAAGAGTTCCTTAAGCTGCTGCGAACCGTAGCGCCCGGGGATTATCTGTTACGCTATACCAGCAAGTATAAAGATAAGTTTTTGCTCTGTCAGCCCACTTCGGTAGACACCCCCAAGAGCTTTAAGCTACATGATCTGCTGTTGGGCACCTCGTCACCTAATGACATTAGCTTTCTTACACAGAGTAATAGCTATCTGCCGATCAGTCCGCTGCTTTGCAGTCGATTGCATGAACAGCTGCAGCTCTTGCCCTGTGCCTTTCCCGTCAAAGTGGGCGCCAGCAGAAAAAAGTCACTGCCAGCGACAAAAAAGAAATCCAAGCTCGAGGAGCAGCCAACGCTAGTCCAGCGAATACGCAAGCAAAAACCAAGAACCAGAGTAGGTCGGCGCAAAAATTCGCGGCAACGAAAACGAGCGGTTGCCAAAGCGCAGCAGGAGCAGGACAAAGAACTAGACAAATTTATGTGCCTTTAAAGAATATTATATTCAATCTAGTTTATTATATTTGCACTGAAATATATTATGATTTTAATCGAATTTCCCATAGATAGATAGCTTCACCGCTCTGAATTCCAAATTGCAAATTTCTATTCCAACATGTATCTGTATCTGTATTGAATTTTATAACTAAAACATATTTCTTTTTACGAACTTTTATAATCAATGGATCATTGAAGAACAATTAAAAATTGAATAATTATGCCTTCAAAAATTTGAAGTTCAACAAATGCATAAAAACAATATATCTTACAAATTAACTCCATTTCATTGTTGAATCTTATTTAAGGCTGAGTTATAATTTCTCTTATAATGTTAAGGTGTAATTACAAATTATTTGTATAAAATTTGTACCATGTACGATATTTAAATACATTGATTAAAAGTATTACAAATCTGTCTAAAGTATTTTAACAATAATTAGCTTTTATAATATTGTTATTTACAAATGATTCACAAAACGAATCAATCTTATTATATACATGCAATTGAAAGTGTTCAGATTTTAGTGAAGCACTCTCAAGAATGGAAGCCCATGAAGAAAACGTGAATTTCTTTTGTTAGCTTTGTGCTTGTTGAGCAAAAAGTTTGTACTATTTTATAATTTCTGCGCTTACTCCATAACGTTTAACATTTCAATTATGATCTTATGCTTAATGCAGACATTTCGTCGTCAATATTTAGGTCCGTTTGCAACTCATCTTCATTCACCGGTAAAGGTGTACTACGTGTCCAGAATATTGTATTGTCGGTTCCTGGTAGTTTCTCGCTGGGAAAACAATGTAATGACAAATCATTGAATACATTTTGCTGCTCGTAATCATCCTCTAAAGGCGCTTCCGTGCAATGATTCATTATGCGGACAATATGATCTTTGGGATTACTCTTAGCTAGAGTTCTGTTCAGTGTTAGCATTTCAAAACTGTTCGAAATTAGCAAGACATTTGGTAAGCTCTGACTGCTCCAGTTGCACCACAGCAAATTGTGCATTAAGGCGTAAGGGCAATGAGGCAAATAAAAGAGGGTGGGCACGTGGGCTTCATGCTTTCCCGCCCTATCCTCATTTATAATAGTTCCATTTAAACGTTTGATTAACTCCTTTTCAGTTTCTCGAAATACAGGATCATAGTAGAGTGCCTTATTGATCTTATGTAGTTGCTGCACGCTTATTATAAACGCAGCTTGATGCAGAGCCTGGTAGGTCCGAGTGAAGGGTCCCAAGCCGAGGCACACAATTCGTTCCAATGGCCGTTTGAGCGTATCCAATTGCTGTTGCAACGTTTCCATTGTCACGATGAAGTAATCACTTTGACTCATTTCTCCACAAAGTCGCTCTAGGCGTCTGCAAGTCATCACAAATAATCATAGAAGCAATATAACCAACAGATAAATCAATGCAATTACGCTTGAAAGAGATCCACATTCACATCGGGGCAATCATTTAAATAATCGCTTTCGGACTTATGACGGTTACGTCGACTAAGGCACTTTCGCGCTATCCATTTTTTACGGGTGACAGTCTGAAATTCTTCACCAGCTCCAGACATTTCAATTTTTTGTTTTGTAAATATAAGTAGATTGCTTGCTGAAATCACTTTTAGTGATTCTTTCTTTGTTACGATATCAGTAATCAGCTATCGAGTACTTATGTGCGCTTTCTTGAACAAGCCCTCCGTTTATAGAGATATCGATTCTCGATTATCGAATACTTTCACACTTGCACTACAAACAGCTGATTCTAATCTTCCTCTTCGCTTTTATTTTCTATTTTTGTTTGAAAAATGAACGACCCCAACAAAGCAATCACCGTTAATTTATCATCACTGCTCAGCTTAAAAGCGGAATTACAGCGCAAACAGCATGAAGTAAAATTGGCCAAGGAAATAAATACGTCGGCCAATAAATTCAAGCCAAGCAAAATTTACAGCAACAATGAAAAGTCAAAAGCCAGCAGTAGCAACAAAGATGGAAACTATACGGAGATTAGCAGAAAAGGGAACGTTAAGGTGTATGAATCGGAGGACTATGGACAGTTGGACAAGTCTCGCCGTGTACTCGAGGCAAAGAGCAAATATTATGAACGCATGACAATCAGTGGCGGCGGCCTGAATGTGGATGATAATTGCCTGGTCATGTTCAATCGCAAACACCAGGAGCAGAAAAACGACGAAAAACAACAGCAACAAGACCCTGTGCCACATAATAGACTAAGTGAGAGCAGCAGCGGAACAAGCGAGGACGAAGGAAATGCAGCTGCTGGTCACGACGATGACGACGAAGTGGAGTACACGGATTGTTTGGGACGGACGCGTACCTGCTTACGTAAAGACCTACGAGAAGCATTGCGACGGGACAAGCAATTAGCGGACAGCATGCCTGAGCGGTTAGATCAAACGAAAGCCAATTGGTTAATCGATACAAAAGGCACTCACGACAGTGACACTGACGCAGACGATGATGAACCCAGCTATGGCCCAAAACACACAGAGAGTGTCTACAGTGAGGCGCTGTCGACAATGACAAAGCATGATGAGCAGCGCGTTAACTGGGAGCGCAAGGAGCAAGAAAATTTCGATAAGCCTGATGTCCATTATCAAGACGTGTTCTTTGATGAAGCGCGCACACACGGCGTGGGTTATTATGCTTTCTCCACGGACGAAACCGAACGAACGCAGCAACAGCGTGAGCTGGAAGAGGCTCGCAAAGAGACACAGGCGGAACAGAAGCGACGCGATGATTTGCGAGCCGAACGTGATCGGATTATTGCGAATCGTGTGTTGGCTGCGAAAAATCGCATCAGAGCACGCAACGGTCTGCCGGCCATAAGCAAGGAGGAATACGAGCAGGCACAGAAGCTTAAGGCAGCTGAAGCTGAGATCGAGGCACGAGAACGTGAACGTGAGCAGACTGCAAAGGAAGAAAAACTGGCGGCACAAAAGGCCGCTGATGAGGCTGAACGTGAGAAGCTGCGCAAAGATCATGTTCGCGACTGGGACAGAGACAAAAGCGGTATGGCCAAAAAACAAGATGACGATGATGAACAGTTATCAGCACCTGTAGAATGGCAATACAAGCCCGAACGACAGCCCATGTCCCAGGCGCAGTGGAATGAGCAGCAACGTGCGGTACGTAGGCCAGAGTTTGCACCCGTACCAGAAACGGAAGCCACTCCAAAGCGCTTGAACTTTAGCAGCATGCCACCACCAATGCAATGGTGCAGTAGCGACCAGGAGTTTAGCAGCTATCATTCCACGAGACGCGAGAAGCAATTCCAGCGCCGTAACTACACGAAATCCAGCGACGAACCTAACGAAGCTGAAGAGCCAATATCAAGTACCTCCAACCATGATCAGAATCAAGGCGTTACTATACCTCCACCTGCATGCCTAATGGAAGGCTTCAGTGGCCCGCCCGCATCTAAGCGAACTAAGTCGCAAGCTGAACTAGAGCGCTCCATTGAGGAGGGTCTGAGATTTCTACGCGAGAGCTGCGATAAGGGAGTACTTGGTGGCAAGGCGAGCTGGACCTCTAAGGCGGATTATTGACAAATTTAAAAATAATAGTTCTTGAAGTAGCTTTTTGTTTTTAATTTATTGCTTTGTGTAAACACAAGATAATAGACAGACATCATTGTGTATGCACGCCAAATTTCCTGGTTTTTAATACACCTAGTTTAATTTAAACGCATATTATTTACATTTCGAAAAGATGGCAACCTTGTTAAGTTGGCTGCTTACAAAATGTAACGGCAAGTACATAATCCATAATGTTACGAAGTGGATTATTGCTAAGCTAACCTAAGTTTTGGCATAACTGTCATGAACATAGTTATTTTACTATATAGGCTACATATTCCAAAATAATAATGCTAATTAAGCTTAACTATTAAATAAAATGTTCATACTAGAAAAGAGATAATGGGGTTTGTTGAAAATATTGGAATCATGTTAGTTGGTTGTTAAAAAATCGTTACGAGTAAATAATTCGTAATGTAAGAGATTTATGGACAAGATTATCTAAGCGTTGGCAAAACTGTTCTGAACGTAAATCACATACTGTAGACCAGGGTAAAGAATAAAAGAAAATTCGTACTACTTGAATTTAACCCAAAAAATCAACATTTTCCTGGCCTATATAAGATCTAATTGAGTTTTATGTCTGTGCCAGTTGCACTGTACTCTAGAGCATGTCACTGTCGACCATATCAACTACAATTTCAGACATCTTCTGTCTGCACAAGTCGTTAGGTGGAAAATTTAGAGCAGGCGCACCCACATCCTCGTCGACGTCATCATTGCGATTCAAATACATATCGGGTGCATCTTCCGATGAACATGTGCTAATGGGTATTATGTCCATAGCAAGCCCAAGAGCAAATCGTCCATAGGTTTTAAGTTCCTGAGCAAAGCTGTAAGAAATCAATAATGTATTGAGCTAATTGTTAATTAACAAATGTTGTCTTACAGTTCCTGTAACTTTTGCAGGGTATTGCAATGGTCTGGCAATACGCTGCAAAGCAACTCCAACCATTTATAGAGCTCCTCCGTATAGCCTTTGAGCAACGTCTCCTTCTGGGCGTCCCGCATTTGCTTCGTAGTGCAGCAGTACATCAGATTGGCAATGTCCAATGCAATGGAACTGTAACGTACCAGCTGAAAGTCAATTAGCGCCACCTCCAGTACACGTTGTCGATCCGTCGGATCGTAGCGATACAGAAAATTGTTGACCCAGCAGTCCCCATGGCAAATGGCCGATAAAGGCGACTCAGCACTGGCCAACTCCACCATTTGGGAGAAGAACGAGGAGCTCTTTGCAAAGCTGCGCATTGCCTGCATATACTTGGAGTCCGCGGGCAGCACATCCGACACCATTTTAATAGCATTCTTCGTCAGGCGTTCATAATAGTTTTTATACCAGTTTGTATTGGCTGTGCAGAAGATACCCTCGCTAATTAGGCTACACATTTTTCTAAACTCTAACGGGTGCTCAAATTTGTAGGCCAAACTAAGTGCGTGGAGCTGAGCAACTTGAAGAAGCACCGATTGCGTCTCCTCCATGCTGAGACCCTTGTGTCGATCAGACATCTCAAAGCCACGAACGCGCAGATCCTCTGAAAAGCAAAACCAACAATAAAAAGCCACAAATGTAGTTTAAGTTAATCCGTTACCCATTATTAGCAAGTCCTGCCTCGCAGTATAGCACTTAGGTATTGAATTAAATAATGGTGCCTCCAGGCCCGTTTTGCTAGCCTGGAAGTTAACCAGCTCCGGCATTATTGTGGTATAGAATTCAACTTCATTGCTGCAAGAAAGGTTTTCATATAAAAGCAAAGAAAATAATTGTATATATTCATTAAACTAACCGAAAAAGCTTATCGCTCTTATAGGCTTCCCTTTGGACAACGCTCTCTGGCAACACCTTACATATAACGCTCTGCTCCCATTTACGCGTGCTGCCATCTAGGTTTAGGCGTTGCCCACTTAAGCAGATGCGATACAGGGCTGCCGTATAGTTGTCGCCGCGGTCTGAGCCTTGCGCTAGCTGACAAAGTAAAACACACATACGCACACAAGTTGTTTTTATTTATGCACATAAATGTGTACATTCGCATACACATACCTCGAATGCTTCGATGCGAACTTCCGGCTCCACATGCTTAAAAATGTCTTGAAACGTGGCCAACGTTAAAACTTTTTTGCTTTCATTAGCCGCTTCTGTGCTTGTCGTTGTTGTTGTTGCTGTTTTCGGCGTTTCTGTAATGCCCATTTTCTGTCCGTTTTATTTTTTCTTATATAAATATATATTTACACTTATGCAGACGCTGTGACAGTAAGCTGCAGAGTCTATAACGCTTTATAGACAATTTAATAATCAATAAATGTTAACTTTAGTTAAAGCACGCTGCACTTCCATATATAAAAAAGCCTCTGCACATTTGCTTTGGACGTTTATTCATCGATTTTGCGCGAACACATGTTTTTTCGCCATTGTCGTTTCTCGTCCTTTTTGTCGAAAAAAAATACTCATAATACTAAAAAAATACCAAAAATCTCCAATCCTTTGTGCTTTAGGTTAAACAGCTCTGTCTTTCAAGCTTTGGCCCCATTACATTTGTGGCGCGCACAATGTGGATTTAAAAAAATATATTTTACTTTTTATTGCATATATTGCAAAAATTAATTTATTTATTTTATACAGTAAAATATTATGTACGATTATTTGCGCTTATAAAGTGATATTTTTTGTCAGAATGAACATTTAATGTTTACTATGTTAATTGGTATTGAATAATGCCGCAGTGCTGTTAACATTTAAAAATTAACCGTTATTATCCATTGGCTTAGGGCGTTTCGAACGCCTTGACTACAAAATATTTAAGTGTGTATATGTGTGTGTGCTCCCAGCAGTTAACAATCAGTTAAAATGAATTTGGTGCCTTTGTTTAATGCTCTTGCTGCTGGTCCACTGTGGTGACCAGTCCCATATCCTGCTGCAGCTCCAGGGTCAGGGGCAGTGGCCGCTGCTGCCAGGTACGCCGCTGCAACAGCGTTTGGCCACTGGCAAGCTGCTGATGCAGGGCACTGATACTGGGATAAATGTGTTGCTCCACAAATTCCGCCACCGTGTGCTCGTCGTACACTTCCCATAGAAGTTGTTGGGCCTCTCGTGCCATGGCACGCAGCTCCTCCACCAGCTGGGGCGTTCGTGCCGTCAGTTCCTGCACTCGCAGCGGCGAACTAAAGTTGTGCCTCACATTGTAGTCCGAGAGCCAGGCACTGTGCTCTCGTGTCTGTTGCAAATAGTTGCGCACCTCAACCAGCTTGTCATAAAGGCGGAGCGCATACTTGAAGACCAGGTGACCTGGATAGCTACACACGGCAAACAATTGGCTGTAATGTGCATTCGGATGCAACTCGAGCCAGGGATGTCCGGAGCGTCGGCTATCCGGCTGAAAGACGCAGCGCAGTACACGCAACAGCTCGTTGTCACGCGGATTGGTGCTGAAATAGCCCTTAGAAACTGTAGACAGGGATGTCATCAAGCTGGGCATGCCGACAGGGAGCAGCTCACAGAGTACGGCAAAATGGTCGTAGCGCTGCCAGCCGGTGAGCGCCAATCCTCTCAAGCCTTTGGCAAAGCGCCCACCCTCCTTCGCTATGACCGCCAGCCAGCGAATGTTGTTCTCCAGATGCTGCTGCAGCGGCGGCACCAGCACACTCTCCCCAAAAGCGCCCTTGTAGGCGGACGCCGCCCATGCGCTAGGGAACACCTTGGCATAGGTGTTCCATAGCTGTGGCTGTATAAAATGATATATATCACTGGCATATACCCACACCATGGGCTCCACATAGCTGCCAATCTGTGAGTTCTGCAGCTCGCTGAGAGTCATGTCCCGTAGCTGATCATCCCAGATGATGACCTTCAAATGTGGCCAGCGACGACGCACAAAGTGGGCCAGGCCAATCACATGTGACAGGAACAGTTCGCTTCGCAATCTCTGGCGACAGAGCGAGCACTCGCCCATGCGCTGCACCTCATCGCAGCCAATATGCAGGTGTGTAAACTTAATGGGCAGCTCCGTAGCCGAGGACGTGGCATTGCCCGAGGGTCGCATATGCAGCTCAATCACCTGGGTGAGCATCTGCTCCAGCAAAGCCATGCTCTGCGGTTGGCTGGGGCAAATGGACTGAGGACTTTCGGGTAGCTCACGCATCTGCTCGAACCCGGACAGCTTTAGCGCATACTCCATGTGCCCAAATGTTTGCACAAGCGGCATAACACTCAGCCCATGCTCGACCCATGCGGACTCCAGAAAATCCTACGAAAGGAAATACAAATCGGAGTGCATTTAAAGCATTTGCTGACGATTATTCAGATTCATAATATAAAAAAAAGCATTTCTACATTAGTTCACGACCTGAAAAGAGTGTCCGATGTCCGATGTCCGATGTCCGATGTCCGATGTCCGGCCAGACACTTAACCCAGATAAATGCTATTAACAAGAAACTTGGTCTTTTGAATATAAGCTCTGGATTTACCAACCCCATCCATTACTCTATAGTAGATATATATAAATCGGATAAGCCACTCTTTCCTCATTTTTTATATAAAATTGCCAAACATTGCAGTTGATTCACAATTGCTTCCTCTACAGATAGATCTATATATTACCGAACCGAAGAATAGATTTTGTAATAAATTTAGTTGCTGTTGGAACGAGCATTATGTAGTGCTATGGACCCGACATCTAACCCTATTCTCGTTAGCTATGATCAGTGACGAGCAATAACAATTCAAAGTATAGGAAAAAAAATGATGAGCCTAGAAAACTAAATCCAATTAAGAGTTTCTAACTCTTTTTGAGTAGTAAAGGCAGAACACATACGTTCGTATCGTGGGAATCGATCAAAAGCCTTTCGGCTTCAAAGAGAGCGACAGAAACTGTGGAAACAATTCACATTTACCTTCAGCTCAGCTTCTTTGTATGCGTTGTGCGCGGCAAGTGGCTGCAGGCTGCCGCTGTAGGGAAACATGTCCTCGTACTCGATGAGCAGTCCAGTGGCGCCCAAGGCGCGCAGCACGGGCAAAAGTTGCTTCAGGAAGCTCAGTTTGGGTGGCGCGCCCTTAAGGTCCAGGTGCACCAGTCGCTCGGCCGGAGCATGGGGTCCATCCGGACCAATGCCCGCCACTGCGGGCACACCCATGCGCTGCAGCTCGTGCTCGTATTGTGTTTGACGCTCTGCAGAGCTGAGCATGCGATCATCCTCCGCATTGGCATTGAGTTCGTCCATGCCTGCGTTGCGCTGCCGCTGCTGCTGCTCCAGGATCTTGAGGCGCTCCTGCTCGAACAGATAGCTGTCGGCTACGGGCAACGGTGCCTTTTTTGCCTGTGTGGGACGCACGAAGCGAACGTTGCCTAGCAAACGCTGCGCCGGAGACGGATGCTCCGCGTTCTCCTTTTGTCGCTCGGCACGCAAAACGCGATTCGCTTGGGCTATCAACTTCTGAATGATGTGAACGTGCTGATAATTGGCCTCACCAGTGGCCTGCTGCGAAGGCTGCTGCGAGAATGCTGGCAGTGTTTTGGTTGTATCATCAAGTATGGCCCATGTCCAGAGTCCGAGCAAGACAACAGCCGATGCCAGCAACAGCACTGAAAGTTTGCGGCGCCAAATAAATATCAGCAAATTCGAGTGCATCTGCATTGAAGAGAGAGCAAGAGAGACATTGGTTAGAGTGGACAAGCGCAACGACGAACAAAAGGCAGCCCTTCGCTATATGCGTATATAAATATTTGACTAGCCCCCGAAGCTATGCTATATATTTTTTGCTTGAAACGTTACTCATACGCCGTGTTGCGGCCGTTCATTGAGGTTAAGAGTTGTTGATGCTGGTTTGTTTTGTGTGAGCTCCGAGTGTGTGCATGCATACATACACACACACACATACATACATACACTTGTGAGGTGTTTGCTTTAGCTGCTGCTCGTGGCATAAAACTGGCAGCTCATTTAAATAAAACGAACTAAATGCAGCACGTAGATAAAACTTTCGCTATATATGTGCATTACCCATTACGCAGCGGGCAAAGACAAAAGATGCCACGACCCAACTTTGAAAGCCGACAAATGTTAGTGTTCGAGTGGAGCAGCGGCGCAGTGAACAGTCTGCCGGAAATTGCATTGAGTATCTTTTCTCTTTCACTACGAGCTGGCAAAGCAAATACCCGCCCAAGGTTCTGCGTTTCGCAGTGTGAACTTTAAAGGAAAACTTGAGCACAGTTTCGAGTATTTGGGCAGCGTCATCAAACCGCATGCTGTTTGCTTTCACCATGTAGTTTCGTATAGTTGGCTTTTATCCTAACTGCTTGCAAGTTACATTTGTAATTGGAAACGTTAACAAAGATTATACTTAAATAGAAAATAGTTTATTGGAGACCATTCAATAGCAGAATGATCCTATTAGACAAGCACTTTAAATAGCAAAGACTGTTGAATCTTAAAGAGCCTTCAAGAGGCCAGCTCTGGCATTTGCTTCCGCAGAGCTCCATTTCCTTAGGTCTGCATTAATCAATCAGTTCCACAAACAAATTCACAGCTGGCTATGCTTGAGCAATATTAAGCATTCAATTGTTATTGTCATTTCATTAAGCTCTTATGATACGTTGCAGAAAGAGTGCACAGCTGAGGTAAGCAGCGGGGCAATTGGCAGCTCGAGCTATTTCTAATCGGATTCAACTTGTTGAGCCCAGCAATTCAAGCTTGAAATTATGCAAATTCAAGGCAATCAACGAGTATTATCTTGCGTTTATCGAATTTCACCTGTGTCGAATGTCTATGGCTAGCATTTTCAGATGGCAAACAACAGGCGAATTTTCGATTGTTGACCCAGTTGGCTGGCAATGCCACATGCTGCCAGCTCGTATCCAACCATGTGCCAAAAGTTGATTCTCGTCAAGCCAGTTCCCTCTTGGCATGCATGCAAATACGGCCCACACAAAGAAAGCAGCATCTGAAAAGTTCAGGCCGCACTCGTAGGACATGACAAACTAATGTGGCTCCTAGCTCGGGCGCCACACAGTCTGCAACGCCTCCACCTCCGGCTTCGTATCCGCCTCTTTGATGTCGCTGTTGGTACATTTGATGCTTTTATATCAGTTTTTGTTGTTGCGAGAGTCGGGTCCGAGTGCTAATTGCACACGCTGTGTGCAGCTTCAACGATTTGCCGACCAGTTTATAAAATGAAATTTAATTGCTACGGCAGCCACAGGACCAATTTGGCGCTGGGTTCGGTCTGTGGGTTCATGTCCGTGTCGTGTCGTGCCGTGTCGTGCCGTGCCGTGCCGTGCCGTGCCGTGCTGTTGCAATTTATGCAGCGTATTCTCTGCAGCAACGTTTGCAAGCTATGAAGACCTCAGCATTTCGGACCAGCTGCGAGCTGTCACGCCCCTGCCCAACCGCCCACGTCAAACAGCACAATTTGGCTGCTTGCCAAATGCGAAAAATGTAAATTTTAGAAAAGGGCGTATAAAAGTCAATGCAGCTGAACGAACACGAAATACCCATGCTTTATACGTTAATTGGTCGATCGAAGTCTTGAATACTCCGTTCAATGCCTCCTTTAAGCCTGCCACTTTACTGAACTCTAAGCAATTTCCGGCTTATCTTGATATATATACAAGTTAACACATCCAACTAGCAGCTAGCTGCACATAGGAACCTTTTGGTATTTCAGTTTCTAGTAAGTCACAGCTGGCAGTCTCAGTGCTTTAAAAAATCTAAAATAAAAATATAAAATTGAGTCTGATTCAACTGAGCTCAAAATTAGTTTGTCTTTATTCTGCAATACAAAACAATTAAGGCTAAAAATATTAACTTACAATTCAGTATGAGCTTATTATAGAGTTCGGCTACGCGCAACTAAAAAATTAACTTCGACATTTGCAGATTTGGCTTGCCACAGCATCACTCAAGCCTTATTAGTAACTACTTCAGTTAAGTAATTTACAGTTTAATAAAGGTCTTGGAGTTGTGATGGCTTGAAACGGCTATTAAAGAAATCCTTTTCAAATAAATACAGCTTAAAGATAGGCTTTCATTGAAGCCAAGACTTTAAATTTACAAAATGGATAATGATTTTAAAATAGATTTTGCATAGAAACGGGTAGATTGAAGGAACTTTTAGACATGTTTGTATTTCGGTTAACTGATTAAAATATTTATTGTCTTATCGCGAGTCTTATATACTCGCTTATCACTAGGTTAGTGTAGCTGGGCGACCAACCTCAAACATGCTCAAATATCCTTAAAGCCGCTTCGCTGTTAGCTATTCTTGCTGCCCGATTCAAAATGCACTCAAGCGCGCTATTTATGAGATTTGATGCTACTTTGCTTGCTGTTCTTGTTTTCGTTTCAGTTTTTGTTGTTCGGTTATTGCGCTCCCAGCATCAGAGTTTCAAGTACAGAAATTCATTTGGGGTCGGCCTAAACTCACTTAGCGTGGGTTGAACTGCAAATGGGCTCGAAGAGGAAACTCGAAGTGCACGAGCTTGTAAAACATGGCACAAAGTGCACAGCCTCGGCTATAAGTGTAGTTAAAGGCCTCTGCCTCATCTTTAGCTCAGGAATCATAGCCGGCAATTAGGCAATTTAACGGGCTATTAACGTTCACTTTGCTGGCTTCGTAGTCCTGCCAAGAGGCTGGCAACTGGCTGCAGGCATTTAAATATTCTCCAACTTAAACATTTAAATGGAAAAGTGAGACCTGTAGTCGGATATACCCGTCCAGCAGATCTGACTGCAGATTTTGTTACTTGTAAGCAGGCATAACTCTTGCTGCAGCTCTACTATGAAATACTTGTTAAATATATTCGCTTATATATGTCAGATCTACTAAAGTTTGATTGATTCATTGATTTTTCAATAAATTATGAAAAACTTTCGCTATCAAGCAGATTGAATGCAATACCCAAACTCAGCTAAAATTCTGTGCGTTCTTCATGTTTCATATAAACAAAGTTTGAGTGCAGCTTATAGTCCCACAGCTTACACAGCTCGCCACAATTATCTAGCACAAATATTTATTAAGCTGCATTATTTTATATTTGAAATGGCACAATAATGTAGAAAAGTATTTGTAATTGAAAATGCAAAATTGCAAAACTTTCTGCAAATCTCGCAAATTACTTCTAAATCGTGGGCGAATTGTGGCCTCGAGCCATTCAGATACTCTGCACTTGCGAGCCATCTACCTGTATTAGTTATCTATATATATATATATATATATATATATATCTATACTCTTGATCAGCATCAGACTTGACGATCTTAATAAAGCTTAATATACTTTCTGACCTCTCTCAGTGCATAAGAAGTAACCTTAAACACATTAACTAAAGTTGCATTTAATTCTAACTAAATACTAAAGAATCTGCAAAAAGTGCAAAAGTTTTGGCAAGCTGCTGCTTTGTTGGCCAAAACTGTAGCGCATAATAACGTACTTAGTTACCTACTTCATAACTGCATTAAAACTGGTCAAACTTTTTGGCGAGAGTGAGACAAATACAGAGAGAGAGAGAGAGGCGAACCAGAACGCATAAATGGCAGTGTTTCACAAAGCTAGACCCCTCTAACTATGCAACACTTTGGCGACGCGGACAGGCGCAAAAAAGGCAGCTGCACAAATGCTAAAATCTGTTGCAAGAACACTTTTATACCTGCCACACAAAAGAGCGAAGGCTATGCAAGGCTGCAGAGTTGTTCGGAAAAAAGCTGTCATTGCTAAATGAATAATTTACTATGACGTAACAGAAACTACAGAAAGCAAATAAAATAATTTCAAATTATTAAAAAATTAACAAATTTGTTTATTATCTAGACAGATTTAAAATAAAAACAGCAATAAAAAAATTATTAAAAAAAAATATATATCAAATATTACACCCTATACTCTCCTAAATCATAAAAATAAAGAGAAAAAGTAATATTATTTAAGATGCCTTAAATATTTCTCAACTTAAGAGTCCTTCCATGGATCTAAAATATATATATATATATAAAATATATATTGAAACATTAACTTGCCAATTGCCAACATTTGTGTGCTTTGGATATTGTCTGAATGTGGTCCTGCCTGCCTGCCTGCCTGTTTGGTTGTCGTCCTGTCGGAGACACATGAAACGCCGCACGACACTCGTGCTTATAATTTGAAATGAGTTTTTTTCTGCATTTTAGCGCAGTCGACAGACATTTTAGTCATTTTGTTTGTTGTTTGTTTGCACTGATTTCGAAAAAGAAACAAGTGTGGCAGGCTAAGAGATACCCTCAAGCCTGGCTAGCGTATGTGGCGGATGGGCTAGTCCCTTGTCATGGGATAACTCTCTTCAGTAACTACAGTAAATATTTCTAGTCCTACGAGGCTACTGGCTTGTTCTAGGATTCAATATGACAACCAAATATACGCATATACCAACTCTACTATTTGAAGTGATTAAAATGATTTCCATTTAAGGCCACCCAAAGCACCAAATAGTCAAAGCCATTCTATGAGGCTTATGCTATATGCAACTGTCTTTATTGTTTATAGTGCATAGTATTATAATTTGAAGTCTTTGCCTGTTTTAGTTCTCCAAAGGCGACGTCTTCAGACACACGGACAGCCTGACCTATGGATCTAAATCGACTCGGTTGCTTTTCCTGGT